GTTTGAAATTATGAACATTGCTCAACATCATGAAAATTAAACCTTATTTTCAATAAGCAATCCTGAAAAATATTTGGGGGTGCTTAACTTTTTTCCAGGTGTATATATATCAGCTAGTTCCTTGAACAAAGAAATACTTTTACCACACATACGGATTAATTTACTTTAAAAAAAGAAAAGATTAGTCTGTATTACTCAATCAACGTGCTGAATATTTTCTACCATTAACACAATATTTACGTAGCTTTCCTGAAGAAAACAATTCAAAATAATCGTACTATTTAGTGTTAGCATACAACGTACGTTTGTTTTTTCGTGTTTTTTTTTTTTTTTGCCTAAAATCAAAAGACACAACATTTGGTATTTATTCATCAAATTATATTCTATCTAATGTTGGTCAACTACTTGCAATTTATTCTAGGAACAACAAAAGAGCATATATTGTGTTACATACTTATGGGCCTACTTATTAGATACCGTTAACAGAGTAATTAGAACATTTGTCTGTTGAATTTCGTGCAAAGCTACTCGAGGGCTATTTGTGCTAGGCGTCTCAATTTTTTAAGTGATAGCCTAAAGGGAAGGCGGCTAGTCAACAACGCCCATCGCCAACTTTTGGACTAGCCCTTTACCAGCAAATAGGAAGATTGACCGTCACATTATAACATTCCTATGTATGAAAGGGCAAGCATGTTCACTGACGGGATTCGAACCCGCTACTGGCAGATTGCGAGTCAAGTGCCGTAGCCACGAATAATTAGAACGAATTATTGAAATAAAGCAATATCTGTAGCTTGTGCTACACACTTATCGAATTATGCCCTTACCATATTATTTACAATGTTTTCTTGAAGAGACGAATACACAGTTTGCTTTAGACAGTCACCAGTCTATTTAGAATATATCATTAACAAATTATTTGTCTTCTTGTGCTACCTGAAGGAATATATATATATACCTTTATATATTATTTACTATTAATGCAATAATTATGATGTTTTTCAAATGAAAACACACATAACTTGTGTTATTCTCATTGTATTGTTTACCATCAACAGTTAACAAAAATACTTCGAGTCCTCTAATGATGTAAATAAACTCTATTTTGTGCAGTAACACACTTCTCGGATTAGATAGTATCTATTGTCAACACAATACTTGCTGTGTTACGTGGAGGAAAACAATGCAAAGCTTGAGTTACACACTTTTCGGGCTAGTTAGTATATATTGTCAACAGAATACTTGCTGTGTTACCTGGAGGAAATCAAAGCATAGAAGATTTAATATATTCTGGGGCTATTTAGCATCTATTGTTAACACAATATTCGTTGTAATTCCTGGAGGAAACCAAAGAAACGCTCTCTTAAAGAAAACAATGCTTAACTTGTGTTGCGCAGTTATCGGACTATTTACCAGTTCTTCAAATATTTTCTTGAATAACCTAATGTTTAAATTGTATTACTCACTACTTTCAATGTTTCGTAGTAGAAAACACATACTAGCCTGTGTTACACAGTTATTCAGTAATTTAGTTTATAGTTAGCACATTATTTTCCCTTTCTCGGCAGAAAACAATGCAAATCATATGTCACATACTCGATCGACTATTCAATAGCTACTGATTATCACAACTTGCCGTGTTCCCTTGAAGAAAGCAAAGCTTTACTTGATTACAGGTTTTGGATTATTTACTACCTATTGTTAACACAATACGTACAGTGTTTTCTTGAAGAAAGTGATTTGTTGCTTGTTTACATACTTACTGGTCTAAATATTAACTACTGTTAACACGGTATCATTGGTATTTCCTTGTTACATACTGATCACGCAATTTAATATCTACTTATACCAAAATATTTACAGGTGGTTAGGGCGCTCGACTTGCAATCTGTGGGTCGCGGGTTCGAATCTCTGTCACACCAAACATGCTCGCCCTTTCAGCCGTGGTGGCGTTATAAT